ATTTTGGCCCTGATTGCATTCATCTGCATTGAGACCATCATGGAGTGTTCCCCGTGCGAAGGCCTCTACTTTTTTGAGTTCGTAAGCTGCAGTGCATTTGTGGTGACTGGGGTCTTGCTGATTCTCTTCAGTCTCAACCTTCATATGAGGATCCCCCAGATCAACTGGAATCTGACAGTGAGTATGTTGCTTGACTCTCCCGGAAAGGGGAATCTCCTGGCATGTTAACTCTAGCTCATTTTGGTACTTAAACATTCCCTTGTAACTCAGCTGTGACATTTAAGTTTCCTTACTGGGTTGAGTAAAATTACACAAGTAAAGTGAATCCTAACTTAATGGGAAGACATCATAACAAAACTGTATTGATCCTTTCAAAGATGTTATTTGTATTTACACTTATCTGGAGGATTGGTTATGTTGCTATTTGTAGAATGTAGGAAAGAAAACAATACATTTGCATATTTTTCAGACTAGACCCAAGAGCCATTTATAAAAATATTAATTCTGGTTGATGTAATGGTTCACACCTGTAGTCCTAGCACTTTGGAGGCAGAGACGGGAGGATCACTGCAAGTTCAAGGCCTTCATAGTATACATAAGGATCTAGACTCCCTGGGTTCTATAACAAGACCTTGTCTCAAAAAAACAGCAAAATATTGATTCTGAGAGAATTAACAATATGAGTAAAAATGCCAGTAACTTGCAAACCCCAAGAGTGCTGTCAAATGCAGAGCCACCGAGGGCTGCGAGTCTGACTGGAAGGTCTGCAGAGGGAGTGCGTCCTCTCTCAGTGCTTTGGGTTCTAAGCTTCCTTAGCATCCTCTTGCCAATTAATTTTCTGAACTTTGTTGTTTTTATTTGTCCTTGAATGAAAAACAATTTTTATATTATGGTTTCTTGCCCTTGCTTTGTAGATGAGCATGTACAAGGCCAGAGGGAGTCATTGAGGGAGGTCCTCCATAGCACAAGAGTGCCTTGCTCTCTCTACTTGTGAGGGAGCACATAGGCATCACAGCTTTGGGAGAGTGAAGAGGGCTAGCTGTAGATACCCTGCCCTCACTCAGGGCTGCAGGCCATACACCCTCACCCTAGTGTCTAGGGCCATGGGAAAAGCCCAGCTTGCTCTGACTCTGTTGCTGGTGCATGGTTCTTACAGGCACCTTGGGAAAAGGTGACCATGTGGGAAGAAATGGGAGCTGTCTGTGGGTGTAGTGGCACTGTTGTTGTGGTATGTCCTGGGACATGAAGCAGGGAAGGTCTTCTTTATCAAATTGCCCCTGTGTTGTCCCAATGGACAAAACACAGAAGGGGAGGGGTGAGGGTAGGGATTTCCTAAAGGAGCCACTGATTAGAAAAGTTAATGTCAGTTGTAAACTCAGATGGTTTTGTTGTAGCCTTGAAAGTGGGGGAAAATTATATGCTAGGTTTTATTTTATTTTGGAAACAGGATCTTATGTATTCCAGATTGGCCTCTTATTCACTGTGTGGCCAAGGATGCTCTTGAACTCCTGGTTTTCCTGCCGCTACCTCTCAAGTGCTGAGATTATAGGCGAGCATCAACTTCTTGAGGTCCCCGTTGATTTGGTGGGTCCAGGCGGACTGTGCCTGTGCCAGCAGTTGCCGCTGTGCTAAGTAACATGACAGCTGGTAGTCAGCTCTGCACAGAGCCCATGCTCCTGCTTTGCAGCTTTCTTCTGGCCCATGCAGAGGCTCAGGAGGAGCCCTGGCTTCTGGGTTTCTGTTGCACAAGAGTGGTACTTGAAGATAGAGTGTGGCTAGGTGTGGTGGCACATGCTTTTACTCCTAGCACTTGGGAGGCAGAGACAGGCAGATCTTAATGAGTTTGAGTCTGGTCTACGTAATGAATTCTAGTCCAGCCAAGGCTACATAACGAGACTATGTCTTAAAAATACGATATTAAAAAGTGAAAAGAAAGAAAAATAGAATAAAAGAAAAAGAAAAACATCAACCTCTGGGAGTCAGGCTAGACTTGCCAGTGTTGATGATGTAGTCAAGCAGCCACTTACAGAGATTAGGTTTTCCCTGCAGTTTCTTCTCCAGTGAAGCTCACAGAGGCTATGAGGTATAACCCAGGATACTAAGGACCTGAGGTTAGAACAGGAATAACTGAAGTGCTAGTGAATGCATAAAGGAGGACCCTTGCTGTCGGCCAGACACTGTGCTTGGCTCATCCATATATATACTCCAGAACAGCTCCAGGAGGAAGGGATTGCTGTTACCACTCTAAAACACAGAGAGACAAAACGGCTTGTCTGAAGTCCTCCATTGGTTAGGTCCCATGGGACTGTGACTCCTAGTCACTGTGCCACCATCCTTTCCACAAGGAAGGCAGCAACTCCATCCGTGCAGCGCCAGGTTAGAAACCTCGATCACTTTGCAAAAACCTTGTTGGAAATCCTCCAAACTTTGGTGACATAGAAGCTTGAAAGTCTGTTGAGAAAGTATGTTTTCAGTGTATGAATGCCGTGTTTTAGATGTCATCCGGGAAAGAGAATACTGGGAGATGCCCCAGTTTCGGTACGTTTGTATTCCTGGGAAGCTTGGCCTAATCTAAATGGTATGAGAACCTTTTTAAAAAGGTGACACTAAGCCATGCACACTTTTAATCCCAGCACTTGGGAGGCAGAGGCAGGTGGATCTCCTAGTTCAAGGCCAGCCTGGTCTACAGAGCAAGCTCCAAGGCAGCCAAGGATACACAGAGAGACCCTGTCTCAAAAAAATAAAATAAAAAAGATGACACTAAAAGACTGTGGGTAGCTCAGTGGTAGGCTGTTGGCTTGTATATGTAAAAGACCTGGGTTCGATGCCCAGCACTGCAAACAAATAAATTAACCCAAACTCTGAATGGTAAGCAGTGTTCCTAGTTTTGGTTGCTCTTTAAGTCAGGACTTGGTAACACAAGAGTTAGTAAATATGTTTTGTGAACCATTACTGCTCTCTTGTTCTTCCAGTGAGTAATAGCCCTGCAACACTGAGACTGACGCAGGTATGGAGGCACAGGAAAAACGAGCTTCACTGGAAAGTTTCTCAGGTGCTTTGCAAATGATTCTACTTTTTCCTTTTTCTTTAGGATTTGGTCAACACTGGACTCAGCACTTTCTTTTTCTTTATTGCCTCAATTGTACTGGCTGCTTTAAACCACAAAACCGGAGCGGAAATTGCTGCCGTGGTAAGCAGACTGGATTGGTTTAAATAGGCTGAGTTGCACCTCCAAGTGTTTCCTGTCCTGGCCTTGGGAGGCCCAAGAGATAAGGGGTGGTGGTCAGGTAATAGAAAGGGTTCACTCTCCATGCTTTGTTTCTGCCTTGCTGTTGATTTATAAAGAGCACGTATCACTTTTGTGATGGGTGAGGGTGGGTAAGGGGCTTTAAGAACCACTGAAATGGGGCCAGCAAGATGGTTCAGCAGGTAAAAAGCACTTGCTGCCAAGCCTGATGACCTCAGTCCCATCCCCAGGTCGCACATGGGCAGAGAAGACTGACTCCTACAAATCACCCTCTTATATCTGCCTGTGTACCATGGTACCCCCCAAACACACAAATTATGAATAAATAAATGTAATGAGCAATATTTGAAAACTATGAAACTGACTGCTCTTCCAACATGATCAGGAGATCCATCAAGCTTGACTAAATAGTTAAAACTCTACTTCATTTTGCCTGATGCTGCCCAGGTCAGAGGTAGTAGTGGGGTGTGGTGGTAGAGAACAAGGGATAGGTGGCTTACTGTGGGGTTCTCATGTGAGATTCTAATCTTTCTATATCACACTTAGTCTACATTATATTTTTACTTGTGGGACTAGTGACCATGCATTGCATGCGGTAAAAGAGGTACTTTTGCGATTTAAAAATAAAAAAGTTCAAAGCCAAATGTGGTGGTGCACACTTGTAATCCCAATACTCAGGAGGCAAGACGGTTGCCCTAAATTTGACATAGAAAGTTCCAGGTCAGCCAGGGCTACGTAGTGAGGCCCTCAAAACAATATAGTAATAACAATACTATTAATTAATACTTTAAAAAGATAATGGGCTGGAGGGCTGGCTTAGTGGGTAAAGTGCTTGCCATGTAGGCATGAGAGCCTGAGTTTCAGTTACCAGAACCAATGTAAAGCTGGACATGGTAACAGGTACGTTCATAATCCCAACAGTCCTAAGCAAGATGGGGAGAGGGAAATCCCCAGAAGCTCATGGGGTCAGCTAGCATTGAGAGGGCACTCCATGTCACATGACAGAGGCACAGGGCTGGAACAGCCAGTGAGGTTCTTGGACAGCCCCCTAGTGAGCCGTGGGTGGGTGTTGAGTCTGGCTGGTTAGATTCACCCTCCTTGTCTTCCATGCCCAGAGCATCTAGGCAGCCAGCATGGCCCAAGGCAAAAAACCTTATCCTAAACAAGAAAAGATTGACACCCAAGGTGGTTTTCTGACCTCCAAATGCATGACACCCCTTCCCCCCACAGAAAGGGAGGGGGGAAGATTAAATAAACCAGGCGGTGGTGGCACACACCTTTAATCCCAGCACTCAGGAGGCAGAGGCAGGTGGATCTCTGAGTTTGAGGCCAGCCTGGTCTACAGAGTGAAATTCAGGACAGCCAGGGCTACACAGAAAAACCCTGTCTCAAAAAAAAAAAAAAAAAAAAAAAAAGAAGAAGAAGAAAGAAAAAAAAAAAAAAGATTTAAAAGATTCAAAAGACCTCTTCATTGTCTTCATGCCAGCCTAGATTTTCTGTAGGTCATGTGGCTTCAGCCAGATAACAGCTACACACTAGGTAGGGCTGGGGATCTGGTATTGCTGGAAGGGGCTGCACACAGCTTGGGTCCCTATGACAACACTCAGCCTCAGCTTCAGGGCACATGCACAAGGGTAAACTGTGACTGTGTATTTTAGATATTTGGCTTCTTGGCAACAGCAGCCTATGCAGTGAGCACATTCCTGGCCGTGCAGAAATGGAGAGTCAGCCTCCGCCAGCAGAGCACTAACGACTACATCCGAGCTCGCACTGAATCCAGAGATGTGGACAGTCGCCCTGAGATCCAGCGCCTGGACACATGAGAACCTTCTGGAGTCCTTTTCCCACTGCCCTCACAACTATTCTTCTAATCAAGTTTTCTTTCTCTCAGCACGTCAGATTTTTGTGTGATCCAGTTGAATTTTGTCCTGTTTGGTAAAAATTCTCTTTGGGAAAGGGTGCCTAGAATGGCCCAGTGACTGATCTGTGGTGGCCTGAAGAGCCCAGGTCCTCCAGCATTGGGTGCCTGTGGGAGCAGCCAGCTTCATTTGACTGCTCTAGGTCTTAACTGTCTCAGAACACACGGTCTCATCTGACTCTGAGCCACCCTGTCATGTGTATTTGTGATGAGTCAAAACTTTATGAAATGGCATTGAGAAGGGTATTCCATGTCACAAGATAGAGGCACAGGGCTGGAACAGCCAGTGAGGTTCTTGGACAGCCCCCTGGTGAGCCGTGAGTGGGTGTTGAGTCTGGCTGGTTAGATCCACTCTCCTTGTCTTCCATGCCCAGGGCATCTAGGCAGCCAGCCACGGCCTGGGTGAGACTTTGAGGGCTTGGTGAATGGATGTGCTCCTGTGTCCTCCTTGCCAGGTCTTTATAATACAGGGACAGGAAATTCTAGTGTCCTGTGGGACCACTGACTCAGAACAGTGACCAGTTGTCTCCTACCCTGCTGAGAAAGCACTTGATCCTGCCTCAAATGAGTCCCCTTCCTGTGGTCTGTATTCACTTCCCGGGACAGGGGCCATCATCTTTGCCTGTCCCCTGCCTCCCTTCCATACCTTGAGGCTGGATTGCAGTTTCAGCACTTTTACCTTCTCATGTGAGAGCTGCAGAAGATACACTTCTAACACCAGCTGAGGCCCTTGCCCACTTGCTGGCCTCACGGATCACATGTGTGTATGTGGAGGCTGGCAGAGTATGTATATGTGTGTGTGTGTGTGTGTGTGTGTGTGTGTGTGTTACAAAGTGGCACACTCCAACTCACATTTCCATTGTATGGACATGTCTAATTCTCTGAATATCCAAGACAAGCTCTAAAGTGATTCAGAGTCAGTTTATCTAGGATTTGAAAATACTTGAATCTGCACCAGGACACATCTTTTCACAGATATGCCACGAGGCACTGTTGTCATTTTGGGTGTCTGAGTGTCCTCACTATGAACACCAGTCCTGGAACATGTTAGGAATCCTAGTTACATCCGGCTTTTGGATTGGTTCTTGATAAACTGAAGATTATTTTTGTGGTGAACGAGTTGAGCTGGCCCCTATGATGCTGTAATTTTGTTGTTGCTGTTGTTGTTGTTGTTGTTGTTATTAGAGACTAATTATGACTTTTTGGAAAATTGTTTTAACATGTCAGGTTCTCACTCTGAACTGTTGATGTTTACAGACCTTGTTGTAGCTCTAATATTTTGTGTGTAGCCTCACCAAGGAGAAGACATGGCTGGCGGGAAGATATTGCAATAGTAGAGAGCCTCCACTATCTCCTACTGAGACTGCTCACAGCCTGAGCAGTGTCCTTTGTAGTTTATAACCCAGAAGGGGGTGGCAAGGCTGGGGAGAGGAAAGTCTGAGGAGGTGCCCCTGTGTGCCATGGCTCTGCATCGTTCAGGGAAGAGCAGTGTTATATGGTTGAATAGCAAAAGGGGCTACTGTCAGATACCACTGCAGGGCTCAGGAGTCCACAGGAAATAGGATCAGGCTATATCTGATTGAGGGAGTACTAGGGACTGGCTCCCTAAACCCAACATCCAGTGTAATCCAGTTCTGCTGTCCTTTTATATTGGCAGTAGTCCAGATCACATGTTCAAAGGAGAGCTAAGCTAATCTGGTGTAACTCCCCTCCCTGCTTCTCTTCTCCTCCAGAGGGCAGCCTGGGTTGGGCCTTGCCCAGCTCCTGATAGAGATTTCTGTCCTTGGATGTCATGAGTCAGTCAGTACACCTTGTGTTTTACCAGCTTTGAACCTGTTGTATGTGATGATGTGGGAGAGCGGATGGCATCTGGATTTTTATCTGTTAGTTTGACATGGTTATTTTGCATTTGTTGAGTGTGTCTACACAATCAAAATCGGGCTTCTTTCCCTGCAAGAATTCCCTTTAAAATAGAGTCACAAAGACTTTGCCTGCATCAGATGGGGCCCACTTGGAAGGACCACCCTGAGCTTTATCATGTTACTGGGCCTCGGGAAAAGGACACCTTTGAAGTGAGCCAGAAGAAAGAAGCATTCAGACTGGATTGCTGCTCATTTCCCAAGTCACTCAATAAAACCATTTTATCATGTGCTGAAAGGAGGCCTTCTGAGAGTGTTGTCAGCTGAAAGAAAGAATCCTGAGGCCCACTGAGACCGTGAATACTGAGATAAGATAAAAGTGGTGGTGTCTTAGGGCCTGAAAGACTTGAGAGTTAGTTGCATCTTGGTGTCAGAATTATTATCTTTGTGATTATTTATATCCCAGTAACTATTTAATATCCTTTGTGCTATGAAGCGTCCCTGTGGCTTTTGTATATGTATTTCCTTGTACTATTTAACTAGCTCCCACAGAGCCAGAAGTGGCTTGTACACATTCTAACAGCATGATGCACAGTCCCAGTCTATACAACCAGCGTGATGAGGAAAAGCCATGAAGGGAATATGGTTGCCTACAGTGAATGCAAAGACACTTGGATTTTTCCTGTCGTGCCTCTGTGCAAACAGAAGATAATATAGATTTGGGGTTTTTAAATAACCTCTGCAAATTGAAAAAAAAGCATATTTTTGTGTTTATTAAGTCTACTACAGACCAGTGTCACTTAGGTTTTGGGCATTTTAAGTCAACCTTAGCTTTTTCCATTTCCCTAGGGAATGAACTGGCTTTCCCAGTTGGAGCAAAACTTGAAGGGAAATGCAGTTGTTGGGAACACCTGGGGTGGTCATGGAGCCATGGGGTTGAAGCCCTCCCTTGTTGGTAGTTTTGATGGATGTAAACACTGACATCCTCAGAGAAAGTGTATTTTGGCGCTGTCTGTTGACTTGAGTGTCATCCACCACTACTCTCCTCTACCCTCCCTGCCAAAGGCACAGAGGGTAAGCCCTTTTTCCTTTGAATGGAGAGACAAGGAAACATAAAGATACTTATTGGCTCCTAGAAAGGGCGACCACGGTGATGGAATGAATTCTCTTCAGAGAAGTTCCATTTAAAGTAGAGAGCCATGCAGGGCAGATTGCTTTTGTCTACAGAAAAAGCAAGAATTCAGTAAGCTGCCCACACCCAGTGCCCACATCTTTCTTAGCAATATGCTAAAATACCAGAGTGGGCAGACCTGGGTACAGGGAAACCAGCAAGAACCAGCCATGGTCTTTGTGCAGCGAGCACTTGGCCTTGGGGTCTTTTTATAGGCCCCTGGCTGGAAGGCTCACACCCATGGGCCTGGTATACCTGGCTTCCACCCTGTGCTGGATACTTGAGGGGAGTTTCATAGCTCAGCTGAAAACATTTCTTCTCTTTTCAAATTTCTTCTATTTTCTTTCAAGTTTTTCTAGTGGTTCGGGCATTCTTCAATGAAATGAAGGTCTAACTCTTGTCCCTACATGTATGTGAATTCTTGCTTGCCTTGAAGGAGTCTTGGCTAGCTCTGTGCGTGACACAAATTGTACTATTTGGAGGAAACCCTTTGCCTATCTATGAGGTGGCCTGAGATTCATCCCTGCCCCTGTCACATTCTCTGTGGGTCAGTCTTAGGAGCATGGAGACTTTGTATCTAATGACCATGTAGGCGGTTCCTACTCGGCCATCTGTGTTCAGAACACACATGGTTAGTGTGCTCCTGCCTGACTGCCTTTTTCTCAAGATGTCATCTACATAGCAATAGTGACATTAAGCATGTAGCAGAAGGGATGGGGTATGCACTTCCTGGTTAGAGAATTGTTCACTGTTCTCAAGCAGGAACAAAAAAGCTGCTTCAAGTGGGAAGTCTCCAGGTACCTTTTCGTTCCTCGTAAAGTTGCACAGTATGGGTTTCTCTCAATGTCTGGTTTTATCAGCACTTGCCCCCATAAGGGCCAGCTAGGCAGGGAGTTTGGTAGCAGCAGGAGGAGGCTGCAGCGGGAGCAATATAGATGGTACTTGATGTGTTCAGAACCCCTGCTGCCCTGGAAGCATTCCCTCAACTTCCTCCTCTTCAGAAGAGGGAGGTCTTGTGCACCCTGAATGGACTTGAGGTCAAGAGCTGGATGTTGTTGGAGACCACCATCCCTCAGTGCTGACATCTAGTCTGGGTCTGAGCATTCCAGGCAGGATGCAGACCTAACAGGTCTGTTTTCTTGGCTTTGTTAGTCCCAACTCCTTAGTCTGTTGTTTCTCTCTTCTTAGCAGACATCTTTAAAAGAAATCAGACCTGTCTGGTTGAGAAAGTAATTTGAAATATTTGACCTGTCTATGTTTATTTAGCTATTATCTCTGAAAGAAAATACCATCAATGTTAGATCTAGAATTTTCTTCTAAAAGGGAATGTTCTCTTGGATTTCATAATAGTCAATATAGCATCGGATGTAAGTTCTCAGGCTTTGGGAATTTTTTTTCCCTTTCTAGTTTCTCCTATTCAAAAAAAAAAAAAACCTAAGAGGAAAGGGGATATGTGGGTTGCGGGGGCACAAGTCCATTGAGCTCAAAATACTAGCCTTTTGCCTAGAATCAAATTTAGATTATAGGTCCTTGAACAGTGTATTTGTGCCATTTATGTACCTTGTTGCCCTTTGTATTCTGATACTTTTAATTCAGGTGAGCCTTTGGTTAAGGGTTGATGCCATTTGGACTGTGGCGAGTTAGTGGAACTTGTTTGGTTATAGTTATGGTAAGAATGTGTCTGGAACCCTTCAGTCAGCTTTGTTAATGGGGTATAGGGCAGGGCCGAGAGGTTTGTGTGTTTGTCTTTCATAATTGTTTCTGAAAAGAGAGATAGATGCTAATACCCCAGCAGGAATTACCTCGCCCCCTCCCTTTGGGTCAGAAAAGCTGCCCAAGGGATGGCTGAGAGAGAAGACAGTGGGGGAGGACTGGTGCCCACTCCAGCCCAGGGCGGGCCAGGCCTGACTGACTGGTGCCCACTCCAGCCCAGGGCGGGCCAGGCCTGACTGACTGGTGCCCACTCCAGCCCAGGGCGGGCCAGGCCTGACTGACTGGTGCCCACTCCAGCCCAGGGCGGGCCAGGCCTGACTGACTGGTGCCCACTCCAGCCCACGGCGGGCCAGGCCTGACTGACTGGTGCCCACTCCAGCCCACGGCGGGCCAGGCCTGACTGACTGGTGCCCACTCCAGCCCACGGCGGGCCAGGCCTGACTGACGCCACTTCCTTCCACTCACCTGCTCTGCTTCCCTGTTTTTTCAGAACTGTTCAGCAAGTTTCACAACTCTGTTCCCTTTTTCGTGGCAGTGAAGAGGACAACCATTCAGGGGTTAAATTGGCTAGGTCAAGGGCTAGAGAGAGCAAGAGCAGGGACATGCTGTGGCCCCGGGCTACTTGTTCCCAACTCTCATTCCTAACCCATTTAAAAATTAATTCAAATCATGATGAAATTAACCCATTTGCCTAAAATCACTGCTTTTTAATAACTTGATTTTGTTTGACATGGTTCCGTCTGGAAGAGTGTTAGGGAGTGTGGTGGTATTGTGTTCCCCAAAATATTGTGTACCCTAATAAACTTATCTGGGGTGAGAGAACAGAAAAGCTACTAGATACTTAGGCTAGAAAATGGTGGCACTCTCGCCTTTAATCCCAGGGAGTGATGGCAGAAACAGAAAGCTATATAAGGCGTGAGGACCAGAAACTAGAAGCATTTGGCTGGTTAAGCTTTTAGGCTTTGAGCAGCACAGTTCAGCTGAGAGGCATCCAGTCTGAGGAAACAGGAATCACCTGAGGAATTGGCAAGGCGAGGTGGCTGTTTTTAAACAATATCCCATTTGCTTGTTACAAAAAGGCGTAATAAGTCCTCAGGCATCCCATCAGAAACACCTGCTCATCCTGTTACTTAAGGAATGCTTTGTAGAGCAACAGTGAATGGCTTGTCGGGTTCTGCAGCAGGCGCGGGGCCAGTACGGTGGGCGTCAGCGTGGCCCAGATAGCGCCGGTGGTGGCCGCTGGCGTCAGAGGCAGACTGGGGGTCGCCGCAGCCACGCCATTTGCCAGCCCGCGGGGGTCCCAGGCGCAGGCAGCTCGCCCCTGCCGTGTCCCCCCCTCCCTCCCGCCATGTTATTGGGGTGAATGCTGGAAGATCAGAGAAGCAGAACAAGCCACAGCTACCTCACTTCGTGAGTTCCTCAGCTGATCCTGTTTCCTTAGACTGGAAGCCTCTGAGTCCTCATCCAGAATGAATATCAGCTGAACTGTGCTGCTCAAAGGCCTAAAAGCTTAACCAGCCAAATGCAAATGCTTCTAGTTTCTGGTCTTCACGCCTTATATATCTTTCTGCTTCTGCCATCACTTCCTGGGATTAAAGGTGTGTGTCACCATGCCTGGCTGTTTCCATGTGGCCTTGAACTCACAGAGATCTAGAGGGATTTCTGCCTCTGGAATGCTAGGATTAAAGGCGTGAGTGCCACCATTTTCTAGCCTAAGTATCTAGTGGCTTTTCTGTTCTCTGACCCCAGATAAGTTTATTAGGGTACACAGTATTTTGGGGAACACAATACCACCACATTTCCCCCTTTTTTTGTCTAAAATTTAAAAAGCTTATAACTAATACAAGAAAAACTATCTAATAAGTATATTACTGGAAATAGGTAAAAAGTAAGGCATCAAGGAACTACATCCAGATGTAGTGAGTTACGTGTCTCATGCCACACAGCAAAGGCTGCAGAATCTTGTAGAAAAAATATCTGAAACAGCTCAGCAGAAAAACTTCTCTTAAAAGGATGACGACAGATACGAGCAAGCGAGTAATGTCCGGGCTCAGCTCAAATTCTTTGAACAGCTTGATCAGATTGAAAAGCAGAGGAAAGATGAGCAGGAGAGGGAGATCTTGATGCGGGCAGCAAAGTCTCGGTCCAGACAAGAAGACCCAGAGCAATTAAGGTCGAAGCAGAAGGCAAAAGAGATGCAGCAGCAGGAGCTGGCACAGATGCAACAGCGAGATGCCAACCTCCAGCATTGGCGGCGATCGGGCCCAGGAAAAAGAGGAAAGTGGACTGGGTCGGGATCGGGAGCAGAAGGCTCAGGCCCAGGCGCAGCGGTCCCAGGCGGCTCCGGCGTGGGAACCCCCAGACAGTTCACGCGGCAAAGAATCGTGCAGGTCAACCTCAGGGACCTCATTTTGTTTAGAAAATGAGTATGAGACAAGCCATTCACTGTTGCTCTAACAAAGCATTCCTTAAGTAACAGGATGAACCGGTGTTTCTGATGGGATGCCTGCGGACTTTTTTATATATTTGCAGATTACACCTTTTTGTAACAAGCAAACGGGATATTGTTTAAAAACAGCCACTTCTGTGTAGCTTTGGAATCTGTATTTTAACTCATTCTATAGCCCAGGCTGGCCTAGAACTCAGAGAGATCCGCCTGCCTCTGCCCCCCAAGTGCTGGGATTAAAGGCGTGTGCCACTCCTGTCCAGCTTGGTAAGACTTCAATAATCAGAAATATAATTCATGAGTAAGGCTTGCTGGACCACAGCACTAGAGAGCTGGAGAGAAGGATGAAGAGTTTAGGCTAGCTAGGCTTCATGACATGTCCCAAAACAAAGGGCAGCAGGGGTATTTCTCTGTGAAGCTCCTCACTCAGCTCTTCTTGTTTTTCCTTAATAAATCTGTACAGTCTGCTCAAAAACAAAACAACAATAATAATGCCAGGTGGTAGTGGCATATGCCTTTAATCCCAGCACTCGGGAGGCAGAGCCAGGCGGATCTCTGTGAGTTCGAGGCCAGCCTGGGCTACCAAGTGAGTTCCAGAAAAGGCGCAAAGCTGCACAGGGAAACCCTGTCTCGAAAAACCAAATAAATAAATAAATAATAAGTAAATAAAAATAATAACAGCCACCTTACCTTGCCAATTCCTCAGGTGATCCTGTTTCCTCAGACTGGATGCCTCTCAGCTGAACTGTGCTGCTCAAAACCTAAAAGCTTAACCAGCCAATGCATGCTTCTAGTTTCTGGTCCTCACGCCTTATATACCTTTCTGTTTCTGCCATCGCTTCCTGGGATTAAAGGCGTGAGTCACCATGCCTGGCACTTTCCAATGTGGCCTTGAACTCACAGAGATCTAGAGGGATTTCTGCCTCTGGAATGCTAGGATTAAAGGCGTGAGTGCCACCATTTTCTAGCCTCTGTATCTAGTGGCTGTCTTGTTCTCTGACCCCAGATAAGTTTATTAGGGTGCACAATATTTTAGGGAACACAATACCACCACAAGGGAGTGAAGCTGTCTGGGTATGTTGAAGTTTATAGGAGTTTAGGAACCCATGGCAGAAACACTAAGCTATTTATTACAGTTTGTGTGTGTTTTTTTTTTTTAAAGTAGGCAATTCTGCCTTTGTATATTTTATGATAAATAATCACTTCACCTTTGGTGCCTTCCATGTGTCACATAAGCACTCTTGTCAATCATGGAATGGGGGGGGGTATACATTTAGTTAAAACAGATAACACTATTTTTGTAGCATGATTGTGTCCTTTCAATATTGCTTTCCACAATATTGGTCTTGAAATTTGGGCCATTTTCCTCTTAAACTTCCTATGTATTTTTCAAAGTCAAACACCCTCTAGCCACTCCCACCCCTTGCACTGTGTTCTGGTTGGAGTGAGAGGCAGAGGACGTTTCTAGAAAAAGTCATGTCCCTGTAATTCTATTTGACATCACTCAACTATTGGTTAGGACTGGGGGAGCTGCTGCTCACCAACAGTAAGAAGAAAGTGGTCTCATTTCTTCACGTTCTGTCTGTGCCCCTGCCTTCCTGCTCACTGAGTCTGACAGGAAGAGCTTGCATTTGGCTCCTTACCCTCCTACCCTAGCCAGTCTCCAACTGTTCTCTGGCTGTCTCCTAGGATAGGCAAAGTGCCACTGCTTCCCAGCAGCACCTCAGCCTTGCTCTGGGACTGCCCCATTTGGATTCCAGGTAGGGTTGTAGATGCCCCTGGTGGGTAGCCTGCATTATGGGTAGCTGGAATGCAGTAGATCCCCTGCTGTGGCGGGGCTGGATAAAGCCAGGGCACAGGGTGGCCCAGCCACTCATTCTGCTTTCCTGGCCCTGCACTTTGGAGTTGTCTGGTACGGATTCTCTGAGACATTAACTTGTAGCTCTTTGTCTTTGTCTTCTTGAAAAGTCAAAACATGTAATTCTGTGGGGAAAAAAGAAGTCATCAGGTGGCCGAACGACAGCTTTCTGCCAGGACGGGCCACAACACTTCGTTTAATTAATGGCACAATGTTCATAGTTACCACGTTTTGTTTCTGTAGTCTGGTAGTCTTGGCTGGCCTTTAACTTGTAGCAATCGTCCTGCCCCTTTCTCCTAAATGCTGGAATACAGGAGTGTGCTGCCATGCCCGGCTAAAGTTTTCCTTTTTAGCAGTTTATAGACATGGCTGTGGGCATTCCAAGGTGAAGGCTGTTGAATGCACTGATTTGTGTGGTTTGCAGTAGTGATCTTTGCCTCCTGGCTCATCTGACATGGCTACCATGGCTAGGCCTCCCTCACTCCAGGTCTGACCCCTGTGCTTGAAATAAGGGGTGTGGGAGCCCTGTGGCATTTGCTCCCATTGATTTGCCCCAGATGGCAGACAAGGCCTCACACTGCCCTCAGCCTCCCCACTTTCTCCTTTGAAGGACCAACTTTTCATGGTACTTGTCTTGATCGTTTTCATAGTGTTCAAATCTGTATTTTTGTATGTAGAGGGAAATAATTTTCTCAACACTAATCACTAATGAATACTGTATTGTTATGAAGGAGTTCTTGTTTAATAAATGGACATATAAAAATGTTTTAGTCTCTTCTTTCTCCCCAAAGGCTTTAGATCCCACTTCTGCAGCAAGCTTGCTCTGTAGAGGTGACATGGAGCCACAGTCAACAGGCTGTAACCAGGCTGTACAACAAGTGCCAGTTTGCCAGGCTTGAGGGCATTGCACAGCCTCTCTGCCTCTGACTACCCACGTGTTTCAGTGTGTGTTCAGTGACAATGAGCAGAATGCTTTGCTGCTTTCCATGTGCTTGGGTCTGAGCACTGACTAGGGTCCTCGTAGCAGCTGCTCTGAGGTCCTTTGCTCATGAAGCCCCAGGTTTTGACTGTCAGGACACCATCCTAACCAGGGTGTCTGCTCACCCTTTACTGCCTTGACTGTAGGATTGAGTAAAAGATGCTAACCTGATGTCCAGCAGAGATAAGTACTGCCTAGCCACTGACGTCAGCCATCAGGACTCACAGTGCCTGCTTGTGTTGAAATGGGCAGTTACTGTGGGCAGCGCGTGGGTTTCTCAGTCAGGCACACTCTGAACAGGTAGTCAGTTTGTTTTAATCCATTGTGGCATTCTTTTAAGGAGGGGATTCACATGCAAGGTAGGAAGGTTACAAATGCCCAAGACATGGGCCCAGAACTCTGACTCATTCATGGGGCCTCTTGGGTCACAGAAAATGCCATTTGTTACATCACTTTTGAATTAAAAAAAAAATTACAAAAAAAGTTAGAAAACATCAAAGACATACACAGGGTCAGCCCCCAAGTGAACACAGAAGGCCCATGTCACCAGTGGACATACACAGGGTCAGCCCCCAAGTGAACACAGAAGGCCCATGTCACCAGTGGACCTGCCCAGGTGTCCAAAGGAAGCAACCCCAGGAGGAGAGGACTTGCCTGGGCCCGCCCAGCCACTGTGACTTTGTCACTGCCTCTGCACTGTTGGCTCCCTGTCCGCTGGCCCTGGAAAACAGGTCTTGGGGCTCTTTTCTGGAAAGGTCTCAGACCCACAATGTAAGACTTGGCTGGTTAGGCTTCTCCCTGCTTCACAGTGAGGAGGGAGACTCCTTGAACAAAGCTTCCTGAAAGTCATCTCAACAAAGTGCAGGTGTGAACAGGAGCACTCCATGCAGAGCCCACTGGGGCTGGGTGGGTCACCTGCTGTGGTTTCTGTCTGTCCCTGTAAGTGAAGGACAGTCCCGCCCCACCCTGTGCTGCCACATGAACTGCACTGACTGGCTCCATGTGATGTATCTGCTTCTGTGGGGCAGTGAGGTTAAAAGGCTCAAGGTCTTTAGGACTGAAACAGGAGAACGTAGGCTATTCAAAGTGCCCTCATGTGCTAGCTCAGCAGTCGAAGCCAGCACAGCCAGTTTGGAGTGTGAGGCTCAGGAGCGTAATCTCGAGAGACTGGCTCCTTGGTCTGCTCTCCCATGGGCATCCACTGCCATGCTCCTGTAGCCGCATTGGGACGGTATGGGTGGGAGACCTAAGTGCTCCAATTGCCAGGCGCAGACAGGCCTTCAGTCAGAGTCCGAGTCCGAGTTGGAATCATCTTCTGGAAGGAAAGTAGAGGATGCTGGCAATGGTCCCTGGAGCATGGGATAGGAGGAGGCACCAGCAGACTGCCAGCAGGAGTGCTGGGCCCAACCTCTCCCATCTTAGCGGCAGGCTGGGCCCTGGAGCACAAGGGGATACAGAGCAGGCACTTCTGCTCAGCCCAAAGCTCAGATGCTTCCTCCCCAGGGGGTCCAGGCATGCCCAAGATGTCCTCTCTCACCTGAGGATGTTGGAATTGTATACCTGCACCCATTTCTCTACCCTCATTCAGCAACTAATTTCTTGTCCCTGAACTAAAATACATTAGAAAATGGGCAGTCTTTGTTTGTGTGTTTGTTTGTTTATAAAGCTATTTTATGGGTTTAGCTCTTTATATATTATTCTATATTGTGAAATGAATATAAAGCATTTTATCGTGTTAAAGTCAATTAGTGATGTAATTTTAAAGGCTCCTGGAATCTTACTGTTAAAGATTATTCTGTAGAACCTTCTGGAACCTCATGCCTCATAAGGCAAATCACTAGTGCCTGACCCTAGCACTGGTGGCTGTATTTTGATGCTCGTCACCTCCCTCCTCAAGCCCTGGTTCTTCTCCCTCATCCATTAGCCAGGGTTATATAAGTAGGACAAGTTTGCTATAGTCATATCTAACATAAAGACCAAGAATACTTTTGCTGCAAAAACAATTGTTTTGTATTAGAACCACACAAAATATTCAAAGTGCATGTCTCCATGGACATTTATGCTCTGATCCCTGAGCTGGCTGACCAGCATTTGCTATAGGTCCCCAAGACTAGACGACAACATCCAGGAGCATTTTAACCTGTTTGCCACAGATCAGGGATGAGTTTGGAATGGCATACATTTTTAGCAGCAGGATAGTGTCTGGGAATCCCAGTGGGAAAGCTGGTGGCCCCTCCACCTAACCAATGAGGTCCTGCTTCAGACATTTGGTACTCAATGGGGAGGATCCTACAGCCAAGACCAGCCCTGAGAGCAACTGTCTGTCTAGCCACAGCACTGCTGGCCAGCTCCAGAGAAGTACCTGGCACTTTCTTTGGAAAAAAGATCCAAACAAGCCAGGTAAGGGTTGCCCTGAGTTTGAGACCTGCCTGGGCTATGAAGTGAGTTAGTTCTATGCCAGTTTGAGTCACACAGGTCCTGTCTCAAAAACAAACACCCAAACAAAAATCAAGCCACACTGTGCCTCTGTTTGCCTAGGTAGTGTGTGGGCTTCCAAACAGGAAAGAAGAAAGGGGAAGGAGGGCCTAGTGGGTTGGTCCCAGGTGGACTGGCATCCTGACTAGCTTCCCTGGGGACATTAGGGTGTCCTGCAGGGCCAGAGGTCCAGGCATACACTCGCTTGGCCTTCCTGCTAGTTTCTAAAACATTTCCCACTTCCTTCAGCCTCAAACTAACCAAGTATCCCCAAGGAAGGGCAGATCTATCCTAAAAGTGATCATCGAGGTTCTTCAGAAACCATGCCACTCACCTCCTTCTGTCCTGTGGGCTGTGGTCTCGTTCACAGAGTCTCCTTGCTTGAGGAATTTGGCCACTTCATTAAAGATCAGGTAGAAGTCAATTGCAAACACAATTGTGGCAAAAAAGCCAAAAACCTGTGGGATACATGCATGGCATATGGCAGGGATCATGGACAGGATGGATGGAAACATCATGAGGACTCTGGGTTCATGGGCCAGGAGACTGGGCATATGCAAGCAGCACTGACAGAATGGCCCCACCAGGACTGATGGGCCGGCACAGCCTTTCTGAGTTATGGCAGATCGAGGAGATGGGCTGTGAGCCTGGTAGACACAACCTCTCAACTCAGGACAGACTAAATTTTGAATTAGACTGGAAATGGCAGAGACCCACATAGGGACCCAGAGCCTAAGCAGGGGCAGGATATGCCCAGGCCCCACTGTAGAAGTGGGTGTCAAGAGGGATGGCCTGGAGCATCAGGGAAGGGGCGCTGCTGGGATGTCCCCCAGGGGGTAGGGCAGCCACTCACTCCAGCTGCTTTGTAAGCCCCGTCTGAGTATTTGGCGACAGCAGTGATGGAGATGACGAAGTAGATGAGGGCAGCAGTGACACAGCGCAGGAAGTCCTGAGGAGAGAGGGACATGTCCACACTGTTCTGACCTCCCACAATGTGGCAGAGCATGGGGACCCAACACCCTCAGCCCTAGCACCCGTGGAGTCCCTGTCCTGGCTCCACCTGCATGCCCTGGCCCTGATCTATTCCTCGTGTGTCTTGTTCTGCAGGCCTCCAGCAGCTTATACTGCCCCATTCCTGGTCCAGCTGGATTTTCTCTGCCCTGTGGGTAGCAAATAGGGTCTATACTATGCTATATCTGGCTCTGCAGTTTGGCAAAAATGGGAAGTGGAGAAAGTCTACCTTTCCAAGAGGCTTGGCTTTGCCACAGTGAGATCCATTTATGATCATAATCTCTGCTTAGTCCTCAAGGTGGGGCTGCAATGAGGGCAACTATCACTAGTAGTTGGATGCTGGAGATAAATTCTAGAGAGCAGAGTTCAAGCCTAGCCTCTGCTGCCTATTTTCTATGATGCATTTTATCCATTAAAGGGCACTCTCTCGGGACTGTCAGGCCTCAGGTGATCAAACAAGGGGACTGTAAGACCCTCTGGTGATCAAACAAGGCCAGGTGCCAGATGACTAGACTCTGGGAAGTCCCACAAGTCCTCAGTTACCCCACCCTGCTGCAAATGGCTTGAATGCCTGTGGCTGAGGCACATTCCTCCTCCAAGATTAGAACAACAGCTCCACCTGGTGGTCAGAAGCCTTCTTTGGGTGTCCAGCTTCACAGACCAACTCAGGAGGTCTTAACCACTTGCATCAAGTCCCACCATCCCAGTGCTGCTGGGTGGGCAGGGGTGGAAGTGTGAGGGTCCTGATTTAAAACTGCCCACTACTGTTGAAGACAGCAGGGCTGAATTGTAGAACCCAGATTCTTCAGGTGATCCCCTGATCCTTACCATCATGGGCCAGCACAGGCCTTGCCATTTGTCATTCAGCTGCATGGCATCAGCAAAGAGGAAGTAAACAGCCAACAGAAACTCCAGCAGAGGTACCGTAAGGAAGGCAGATGCCGAGGCCACCACATAGCAGATGAAGGTAATGAATGAAAGACCCTGTGGAAGAGCAAAGAGAGTTGAACCCTCTTGCCACCCTCCAGTCCAGGACAGACCCCTGCTAGTACCTCATCTTGAAACCCTCCACCTCCCCCGACTCACCCCACAGGTCACCTTGTGGAGCTTCTCAACTCCTTTCCTGGCTCTAAAATCCAACGTATCCAACAAGGCTGTGTCCACAAGGGGGCAAGCTGGAGCTAAAAGCTACTGCTTTCAAAAAGTCACACCTAACACCTAAGATGTGTACTTTTCACGAAAACCCTAACTTCCTTTAATGAGGACACACATGCTGAAGTGGTTGAAGTTGAAATGTACTGATATCTGCAATTGAGTGTGAATGTGTAAAAACACAAGGGAGGTTGATGGACACAGATGATAAAGCAGGCAGAGCAGTGTTAGCCACTGTACAGTTCAGGTGGTAGGTGCAGGGGTGTTAATGTAGATCTTTTGACACTCTTGTGCATCTGCAAATCTTCATTAAAAAAAAAAAACTATGTATGAGGCTAGAGATATAATGTAGCTCAGCTGGAAAATTTCTTGCCTAGTACATACAAAGCTCTGGGTTCGATCCCAAGCACTGCATAAACCAGGCTTGGAACATGCCTAAGATCCTTGAACTTGGGAGGTGTAGGCAGGAAGATCAGAGGTTCAAAGTCATCCTCAGCTTTATATAGAAAGTTTTAAGCAGCCTGGGGTCCATAAAACCCCATCTCAACAAAATTCTAACTCCCTAGGAGACAGCATTGACACTGGGTCCCTGCTCTACCATTCAGATAGTGTGTATGAAAGGTGGGGCTAGCTATACTCTGTCTACAGAAGCCTGGCCCACGAAGCTGTAGTGTGGAAGATGCTAAGGTCGCTGGCTAGTCCTGCAGCCTTTGTGCACGGCAGGGAAACAAGATGAAGATGCTGGGTCAGAGGCTTTTGCAGCCCAATTCTTGCTCATTCTTTCTAAGACTTCTAGACTTCTCTGCTCCTCAGCACCACTCATGTGCCACTCAGCCTGTCTTTAAAAGGAGCAGACTTGGTGTCACCCAGCTAACAGGAGGGTATCACAATCCGTACTTAGGGCACTAAAGGTCTTCAGCTTCCTCGGCGTATATCTACTACTATGGCCGGGTTTGAGTTGTCCGTGGCTCAGGAGTTTAAGAGGCCGAGAGGGGAAACTCGGATGTCCCGTAGGAAGTACTATGGCTGCTTCAGACAAACGAACTGATCTCAAGGACCCCACTCCCACCCCTTTCCCTGAACACGCCATGGGGGAAGCTGAGCTTCCCTTGGGCAAACAGGAAACAAGGCTTAGAGAAAGGCTTTTTGAGATTGTCAGGTCATCAGCCCCCACTGTATCTCCTTCCTAAAGGCTGCTCTTATGTCTCCCCTCTTTCTGTTTTTATTCCCCCCTTCAATTAAGTCTGACTGGTGACACTCCCTCCCCATACACATAACACACCTTGAGTTCTGGTTTCTCATCCCCCAATTCTTGGTGGCCACTTCCCCTAGCTTCCGATCCATGCCAGACTCCCTACTTGCATGGGACCAAGGGGAGGAAGGACCGGGAGTGGCCTCTGTACCCCGTGAGCTCACTCCTTACCCTTCTTATTTCCCTAGGCCTGGATTTCTGGCATCTAGCTAGGCTAAGGACATCTTGTGAATTCTGGCTGGCACTCACCCCTTCTCCATGAAGGGGTACTGGGTAGAATAGGACTGAAGCCTCCTCAATGCCCTGTGATTCAAAGCCCGTCCCCCCTCCCGCCCCCGTGGCTTCCAGAGATGGCCAGTCTAAGAGTGGGCTCTAGGACTGCCTGATACCTCACTTAGGAACCAAGTATTGGATTCTACTGGTGACCTCAGGTTGGTGCCTTCTCCATGTGTCCTGGGGTACAAGGGAGAAGTCCTACGACAGAAACCCTCCCATCTATTCTCAGGACCCCTCAATTGAGTCACCTGTCAAATTTCCTAGGTGCGGTTAAAGGCACTTTCGGTCTCTCTCATTCCTCCCCCCCTTAAGTGGGAACAGGTCAGATATCAAGTTGCTAGGGAAGATCAGATATCAAGTTGCTAGGAATCTAAGCAACAAGTGTGTCGCTATGGGCTGTTTCCTCCTTCTATTGTCCTTCCTCCCGCCCCTCTCACCATCTCCATAGGCCCCATGCCAGTTCCCGCCCCACACGCGATGATGCGGGAGTGTTGGGAGGACAAAGGAGACATTCCTAGTCGGGTGGGGACAAGCGGGAAGGAGGAAGGAGCGTGGCTGGGGAGGGAGGAAGAAGGGGATGAAGTCACCCCGCTGGCTCGCCACCCTGGGACAGCAGTCTGCCTGCACCTTCACTACGCAGCCCCGGCCTCACCCGCTCCCCGGGGGCTCGTCCCACTCCGCAGGATCCGCACCCCACGGGTGGCCGGGTCTCACCCAGGGAGGTGGGAGGGTGTGCAGAACGGGAGATCAAGGCTTGAAGGAGCCATGGGAGCGCAGGGCGGAAGCGCTCGAGGTCACACAGCGGCCAGGCCACGGCGGCAGCAGCGACCAGGTCCCCAAACCCGCGTCCTCTGGTCCCTTTCGAGGGCCTCTCAGGCTGGAGAAGCCGGGAAGACCACGGCTCCGGCCTGACTTTGACTCGCGCTCAGCTAGAGAGAAGCCGTCGCAAGTTTGGGGGCGGTGGCCCAACTTTGCGCGCCTCTTCTGGGCTGGGGGTGCGGAGACCCGGCTTCGGGCACCCGGGGAGCCCGCGCACTCACCGACTCGGCCAGCAGGAGGCGGCCTTTGAGCGAGCAGAGGAAGGCGCGCGCGGGCAGCAGGGCGCGGAGCCCGGGCACTGTCCTGCCACTTTGGGGGCGGTCCGCGGACTCGGGATCGGGCTCCGGATCTGCGTCGCGGGGCCACATAGCGGCGCTCTTTGTCGAGCTCCGGCCTCACTGCCTCACCCAATGTTCTGGAGGGAAGCGGAAACCCGCTGTGCGGAAGGAGAAAAAGTGGAGTTAAACTAGGCGGGGGACTCATCCTCCGCTGCCCCGCCTCCACCACTTTCAATCCTCCCCCACTCATCTCCACCCACAACTGCCCCTCGGACCCTGCCCCGCCCGTCCTCCCGCCCTCCGTTCTCTAACCACCCCTACAAAGTCACTGGGACACTGTCCTACCCATCCCTCCTCCCCCATCTTCCCATTCCCATCCCTGCCTCCCCCACTGCCCCTCTGACTCTACCCGGCCCATAACCCGCCCCCAATCCTCCCCCTCTAGACCTAGTCCAGTCTGTTTCTCCCCGCCTTCCATCCTTCCACTTCCACCCTCTAACCCCTCACTACCCCTAGGATCCTCCCCCGCCCGGTCCTTCCATTCTCAGTTCTCCCTCGGACTCTGCCGCGCCCACTTCCCCATCCGTTGACACCCGCCCCCCCTGCCCCCCGCACCACACTGCCTCTCCGACCATCCGTGGCCCTTTATCCTCCAATCACCCCCACATTCTCCTCCTCCCTACTACCTCTTCCCCCACATTCCCGTCCTTCTCCCTGTCTCCCACATCCTCCTTTACCCGGCCTCACCTATCTTCTGCCCCATTCTCCCACCCCTTTCTACGCTGCCTTCTAGGGCCTACCTCCCCATCTCCCCCACTCCGCCCTGCCCCCTTGGAGTCTGTACCCAGGTCCTGCCAGTCCTCTCGGATCCCAACAGCCGGGTCTGCTTTGTGCTGTCTGCTGGCCTGGAGTCTTCTAGTATTGTCTCCTCACCCCATCCGGCGGACACAGACCCACTTATTACCTCCCTTGAGCGCTCCGGAGCGCGACTACCTGTCCCTGCTTGGCGCCTCTGCTCTCTGTCTAAGCTTGAACTAACTTTCTGCCCTACACCTTCCAGGAGCCTAGACATCTCTAGACATCTACCTGGTCCTCTCCTGGCCCGGCTCTAACCAAGCCGTCAGCTCTTGCTGTGTCCTTCCCCACTCTCAGCTCCTCTCGGAGTTTCTCTGGTACTTCCCCAGCCACCCTCCCGCTGGTCCTTGGCTAGCCCCTCTTCCTTCTTCTCAGCTGGCTCGGAGTTTCTCCGCCCCAGCCGTTTCCCTGGCCACACTCAGGTTCTCAGCCTCTCCTCCTTCCGGGCCTTTTTTTTTCTTAATTAGCTGCTCGAGGCTTGGGTTCTTCCTGTGCTGGACTAACCGGAGATCTGGGAATTGTCCCGGTCCTCCCTCAGTGTTAGCCCACCACCAAGGCTATCTTGCCACCACTAAGCCCCACACTTCAGATCCCTGAATTGTTGTGGGGCTCTTTAAGAGGCCTCTGCTTTCTTCTTTGTCAGCCAGACATGCTTAAATCACGAATCACGCTCCCTTCCAAGGCCCTCTCAAGCAAACTGATGCTTCCTCTTGCCACAGGGCCCTTTGTACATCTGTCCCTTCTAAAGATGGGTGTGTGTGCACCTTCATACTCTTGTGTCTAGGTGCTGGTAGAGACCAGGGGTAGTCTCTTATTTTTTGAGACAATCTCTCACTGAACTTGGAGCGCATGGGATTTCCACAAGACTTACCTTACCTGGCCAATGAGCCCCAGATGTTCTGTTTCTGCCCTCCCAGAACTTGTATTACCACTGTATGTGGGATCCAACTCAGATGCAGCTGAGGTCCTCATGCAGGAAGCGCATTGTTGTATGATCGTCTTTCTGGTTTCCACTTCTACCATCTTACCTGATGAAGGTTTTCTCCACGCTGATTTCTTCAGGAAGACATTTCCTACATTCCCTTGTCCATTCAGAAGCAGTGCAAGAAAGGCAGGATGTGAGGAAGCCCCAGTGCTTAGGGTAGGGGGCAGGCTGCACCAGGTAGCCCTGAACAGGATGAATCCCGGCAGTGCTGGAGAGATGGCTCAGGGCTCTTGCAAAGGCTCGGTTCCCAGCACCCACATGGGAGCTCACAACCATCTGTATCAGTTCCAGGTCAAGAAGTGGCCCAATACCTCCTTCTGGCCTCTTTGGATGCCTCATAACATGGTACACTCATAACCATGCAGACAAAACACACATTAAAATAAAAAAGAAAATTAAAATAGGGCTCAGTAGTTAAAGGCTAGGCTCATAATCCCAAAATTAAATAACTAAAAATAAAAAGGAGTCCTGGGACTTGCTGGCCGGTTTAGAGAATAGCCAAGTGGCATTAAAAATAAAAGAGGACATTGATCAGAGACTGGGGCAGGACTTGGGAGGATGAGACCCTGGTGCCCAGTTTTCACTCACAGTACCCAAGGAGGACATGGGAGGGTTCTAAGAGACCCACTTCTGATCTATATTGGGAAAAACATGCCTGTAAGTTGAAACTCAATAATAAGGAAATGGACCAGAGATTCGACAGGTAACTTACCAGAGGAGAATGTTGAATAAATTAGCACATTGGAAAGGGAATGGGTGGGGGCTGGAGAGTTAGTTCAGCTGTTGTTACAAGTGATTGCTGCTCAATATTGATGACTAGAGTTCCAATTCCAGTACCCATGGGACAAGCCAGGCATTTCTCCTGGTATTTTTCACTCCAGATCTGAGGTGGATAGAAACAGGGAGGTCACTAGGCCTTATTGGGTTCCAGCCTAGGGAAGAAACTGATATCCCTACATTCAGGGAGAGACTCGATCTCAAAGAATAGGCAGGGAGTGATGTAGGAGAACACTTGACGCCCCCTTCTGGCCTCCCCATGCAGAGGCACACACACCTACACACATACTGTGAAGGTCCAAGGAAATGCTGGAAGAAGACCCCAGACTCAAATAGTATGTAAAAGCAAAAAGTGTTTTATTAATATTCTGCATACATATGGGGTTGTTCACTTGTACAAAATGGCGACTACCCTGAGAGGAGCATGTAAGCTCTTTTGAAGCACAGCTAAGGGGAGTTTTAGGGACAGTTAGGTCATCTCATATATAATTGGTTAAGCAAGCACCATTACATTAGTATATTTTTAATTGGCTGAGATTTAGTCTTATAATTTTTGAACATATTTGTATAAGCTTGGGCAAGTTCAGACATGATTTAGAAGGGGGCTGCTGGATTTGTCCTTGAGACATTGGGAGGCTGGCTCAGGCCTTGTCTTTGAATGTAAGGGCCTTGTGGATAAATGGCCCTTTGTTGGAGAGACACCTATTTTGTCCTTTTCAGAGAATTGAAACCTAAACTCAGTTGTGAGAGTTGGGGAGCTTAACCCCTTCAATACATGGGTCACACTCACACATACACATAGGTATGGATACACAAAAATAGAAAAGAAGCAGCTCAAACTCAACATCTGAATCAAAAATGTCTCCCATGGGCTCATGTTTTGAACAATGAGTCCCTAGCTTGTGACACTATTTTGAAGCCTTTAAGAGCCCGGGGCATGTTTAGAAGTAGATCACTAGGGGCAGTTCTTTGAAAGGTGTACATAACCCTCTGATTTTAAATGCTGTGAGCTCCCGATGCTATGGCTTTGCTGTGATGGACTGAAACCTCTCTGAAACCTGAACCAAACAAACTTTCCCTCCTTTAAGTTGGTTTTGTCAAGTATTTTGGTTGCAGGAACGTAAAAATGTGATTAAGCATAAAGGCATGCAATGAGACACTAAAACTGCCTGCTGAAATGGCTTAAAGGTGTGTGTGTGTGTGGGGGGGAACACCACCAAGTAGAGAAGAACATGGGGAGCAACTGGAATTGTACCAAAAAGGAGAGAGACATCCATCAGATTTTCTTTTTCTTTCTTTTTTTTCTTTTTAAAATTTTGCATGTGTATGTATATAGGGTATGCATGCATGGATGTGGGTACATATGTGTACATTCATCTCACGACATCAAGAGCTTTCCTTAGTTATTCACCTTATCCACTGAGGCAGGGTCTCTTACTTGAACTCTGTAGGAGTTCTTTTCTACTACTGTGATAAGACACTGTGACCAAGGCACCTTATAGAAGAGTTGATTTGGGGCTTATGGTTTCAGACAGTGTCCTAGTCAGTGTTCTATTGCTGTGAAGAGACACGGTCACCAAGGTAACTCTTACTTAAAACAAGCATTTAATTGGGGGCTTGCTTAGAGTTCAGAGGGTGAGCCTATGATCGGGATGGCAGCAGGCAGGCAGACATGGGGCTGAGAATTTACATCCTGATCTACAGGCAAGCAGAGATGAGAGGTGAGGGGTGATTGGGTGGGAGACTGGCCCTGCTGTGGGCTTTTGAAACCTCAAAGCCCACCCCCAGTGACACTTCATCCTTCCCAAAGAATTCCACTCACTAGGGACTTAGTGTTCAGATATATGAGCCCATGGGGGGGCATTTTCATTCAAACCTCCACAGAGGCTTAGAGTTTGTGGTGGTGGAGTGGAGGTAGCCAGTGACAGGCAACAAGGGCAGCAGCTGAGAGCTCACATCTTCAACCACAAGGAGGAGGCAGAGAGTGCCCTGGAGATGGAATGAGTCTTTTGAAACCTCAAAACCCACCTCTGTGGCACACCTCCTCATCCTTCCCAAACAGTTCCACTAACAGGGGACTATGTATTCAAATGTGTGAGCCCATGGGGTCCGTTCTCATTCGAACTACCTGAGAGTCTGGCTATCCCCTGTGAAGGAGACCCCTTGCACAGCAGGGCCTCCCTCCCGGATCCTGGATCAGGCACAAACCACACCAAGACACTTGTTTTCACAGAGATCCTTTATTAGGCAGGGAAGAGAAGTTACAGTGGCTGCTTTCTGACTCAGGCAGAAAAACAGCAGCAAATGACCTTGCAGGTGTAGTTTTTCAGAGGAGAATAAGGGGAGGTCTGTGTTAGAATGGGCTAGGGTGTGGTAGTGTATTTTGATTGGGCATGTTAATTACAAGAACCAAAGGGGGCTTTTGATTTCTGGACTTCAATATTTTGATAGCTAGACCTTGGCAGTCAGGAGGAGGAAGTGGCCAAATGAGGGAATAGACCTTGGGGGCTAGCTTTAAGAATGTTATCTAACAGTTTTTAGCAAGGCAGAGGAAATGGGAGAGAAGGGCAAGGCTGGCCAGAGCCACAGGCTCGTGTGGGATAGTGTCCCTTCACCTTGCATCTGGTACTTTCCTTTGATCTTGGTGTCTGACTCCCTGTTAACTCTATACTAAGTGCTCTGTGTTCCTCATGGTCACTGCAGTGCAATTGCCCCTAGTTAACTTCTTGTTCTCTTTCTGAAACAGGTGGACACTTCTGTAGAAGCAATCTCCACTTAAGTCAGCTACAGTGCAATATAAATAAGCATGTGTGAAAAGACAATAGGACCTGAGACATGGTCCTCAAGGGCTTTGTGGGGAGGGAGGCAGTGGGCCTGATGTCACTCCCTTGTATCTGGCTAGTTTTGGTGATCTCACACCTAGACTTAAGCTCTCTTATTCATCCTCCCCTGTGTCCCAGGCTCTGCTGTTTCAGTCCTGGCATTTCCGTTGAACCCAGGCTTCTGTTTTCACTGTAACATATGTGAACAACTTGGAGTTTTCACCATGGGCCTTTCCCCTGGGAGTTCCTACATCATTGTGGTATGTCCTTCTTTTATACCTGGCTTCTTTTGCTTAATCTGTGAGAGTTACTCATGTTATTCTCTCAGCTGGTAATTCTTTATACTCCATTTTTGTGAAGGAAGCACAGTCTTTTAGAACACTGGCATCTTTCTAGGTTTTTGTCTATTTGGAATATTCTAGTATACCATTACTCTTGGCTGGGTACTTAGGAGAAGCATTCATGGTTACCCAGAAGAACAGTATTTAACCAAGAGCCATCTCTCTCGTCCCCGAGCTTTCTTCCTATGACAAAAATGCCTCTTCAAAACTCAGCCTTGGCCTGTGGGTTTCCCTTTTTGAGTTCCTGGGACAAGGACCTGGAACTAACTCCTGTGTTATGCATGCCTGAGATGAGAAAGTCTGCTATGCACGCCGAAGAACACCATTAGTTCCTTTCTCCGTTTCATTCTTAGGACTCCAGGCTTCTACTTACACATCTCCTTCCTTGGATGTCTGTTGGAGTCTTCACTCTTCCCTCAGGAGGATGACTCCCTTTCAGGGTGGGTAGAACCTCTAGTGCAGTGGTTCTCAACCTGTGGGTTGTGACCCCTCTGGGGCCTTTCCCTTAGCACCGAAATTTCCAGGAGTTTCTGTGGGATGAATAGCACTGGACAAATGTTGTCCAACTTTTAGTACAAAATCCATTTAAAGAGAAATTTTCTTTCCAAGAGGTGTTTATTGATGGAAAAGAAAAGTAGGCTAGAAAGCTGAAAAGGGGAAGGTGTAGAAAGGCCTGGCCGTAAAGCTGGCTGCCATTCCTGACCGCGGGTGTCGCCGTCCAATCACATCTTCTTGTCCTGTTTGTCCTCCATTTCATCCCTCCCCTTCTCCCTCTCTCTTTGCTTTGCCTACTCTCCTCTATGGTAGCTGTCTCCAAAGGTCAGTTGGGTCCCTTCTTGCTTCTGAAGTATTTGAATTGAAGACATATGTCGATAAAAGCAAAAAATGCAGCAACTGCCATAAGAATCTAGGGAAACAAGTGGATTTTCATTATTTTGACTGTCCACCTAGAAGGCAGGCACAGATTCCATTCTTGGTCTCTCATCTGAGGTGATGCACAGTGTACCCCAAAACACCTCGATCCTAGACCCTCCTTCGGTCTGCCCTCCCTGGTTTCATGCCCAGTGTCCCCATCATCTTTCTTTTTCCTTTCTTTTCACGTACATGAGAGTCACAGGTGACTTGGCTGCCTTCCTAGACACCACGTTTAAAAAGGTGTCTTCTGCATTAGAAACATTTACCAACTTCTTAAATTTGCTTTGATCCCAAGCTTTATTTGCTTGTTTGAGACAGGGTCTCATGTACCCCAGGCTGGCCTTGAACTTACTATTGTGCCAAGGATGGCTTTGGACTTTGGATCCTCTGCCTCTACCTCCTGAGTGCCAACACTGTAGATAGGCATGAGGTACTATAGTAGGTTTTTGCAGTGTCATAGATCAGGCTAGACCAGCACTCTATAGACTCAGCAGCAACCTAGCCCATGATCCCAGGATTTTTGTGACAGTGATTTAGGAAACCCACAGCTCAGCAGAAACACCTCACCATAGCAGTTAGATAGGGCTCTTGGATCACTCGTTTAGTCTTCAAAGAAAAAGCAATGCCGCCTCCGAGGAACACGCAGGAGAAGAGGTTGTTGAAGATTTCCTGAAAGTGGGAGAGATAAGCTGGTCTTAGATAGCTGTGCCCCATGCACCCCCAAAACAACACGGTATCCTCCATGTAACCATGTTCAAATGGCCCCCTCCACCCCGATAATTTAAAATAAATATGCAGAGGCAAATATGTTTCTGGCCAAGCAGATCAACCAGCGGCTCCCTGCTGGCCTCTGTGAGTGGAGCACACAGTCCAAACTTAACTGCTGTCTGCCCAGGTGAGCCACAAGATACCATCTTGCCTAAAACACCAGGGATCCGGTGCCTATCAGTAGTCATGTAAATAAATGCATAGGCTACTTGATGGTATCTCTGTTAGGTACTTCCCCTCATCATTTCTGTACTCTCCTCTCCAGAGCTTCCGTGAGCAGTATTGCTGCTGCCAGGAGGCTCTCTGACTTAACTCTGGGAGCCTTGCTGCTCCCTCTACACTCAACCCTGCCTTACCCCCTGGACTACCTTCCTTGATTGCTTCCTCCTTCATAATTTTTTTCTTTTCATTCCTTGGGGATTTGGTCTTCCTTTACCACATACAAGCCTTCTTCTCCCAACACAGAATAAAACCAACCAAAATTCTATGTATTTGTGCCCCTTGTCCCATTTTCTATTAGTTGTGTTTTATCTTAGAGTGTCCAAATTTGAAATTTTTTTTTTTTTTTTTTTTTTTTTTTTTTTTTTTTTTTTTTGGTTTTTCGAGACAGGGTTTCTCTGTGTAGCTTTGCGCCTTTCCTGGAACTCGCTTTGGAGACCAGGCTGGCCTCGAACTCACAGAGATCCGCCTGGCTCTGCCTCCCGAGTGCTGTTGAAATTGTTTTTAATTTTAGTGGGATGTACAATCTCTCCTGCCAATATTCCTAGGTACTCTCATTGAATGTTCTGTCCAACTTTCTTTTACAAAAAGGTTTGCTTATTTTTATTTTATGTGTATAAGTGTGTTGTCTCCATGCACGTAATCATACCAAATGTGTGTAGTTCCTGAGAAGGCCAGAGAGGGCATTGGATTCCCTGGAGTTACAGCAGCTTGTGAGCTGCTTGGGTGCTGGGAATTCAACCTGGGTCCTCTGCAGAAGGAGCCAGTGCTCTTAACTGCTTAGCCAACTCACCAGCTGCTGTCCCAGGTTTTCAATGCTACCTCTGTCATATACAAGTTGCAGTATGTGTGTCTGAATTCTCTGATCTATTCCTACGTTAGTATACTATTATAAAATACAATAGGCTGGGTGCCTTAAACAGCAGATGTTTATCCTCTCAGAGTTCTGGGTCTGGAAGGACCAAGAGCAAGGTCCCAGAGCACTCTCCCTGGCTGGAGACAACTGCCCTTCCCTCTCTATCTTCATATGACCTTTCATACGACCTGTCTCTTCCTGGAATGATACTAATCGTTTGGATCAGAGTCCCAACCTTAAGTTTTCTGTTATTTTTAATTGCTTCCTCAAAGGCCCCATCTCAGGATATAAATCCAGGGAGGACACAAACATTCCACTGGTAACCTGGCCCTGCTTAAGTTCTTATCCTGACTTCCCTTGATGATGAACTGTGATGTAAAAGTATAAACTCAATAAACTCTTTCCTCCCCAAGTAGCTTTGGTCATGGTGTTTTGTCTCAGCGATAAAAACCTAAACTAAGACAGGCCTTATCTCTTGTCTTGAGAGTACTTGAAAATCCATTTCTCAAGTTCCTGAAATGGTACCTCATGAGTCACTCCCAACAATCTACAGCTTGTATTGTCATTACTCCCATTTTCCATCTCGAGAACCTTTGCATCCTATCTCTATTCCTTCCCTCTTCTTCCTCCTTCTCCTTCCTCCATTCCTTCCTCTCTCCCTCACTCCCCCTTTTTTCCCTCATTTCTCTTCCTTCCTTTTTTCTAGCTAGGCTATTTAGTGAAAGCAATATTGGTTACATTTCCATCACTATGTTTATGTTAAGTAGAGGAGGATTGACTTTCATGTTTGGTGGACGTTATTTTACTGGATCTTTTCAGTCTCTTCACTGGACACATAGTCTCCATCTTTTTGTCTTCTGTGCATTCTGTTTCCAAGAGTTTTCATTTTAGTTCCATCTCCTTCCTTCCTGTACTGGAGGTCTTCATGAGGACTGATGGATCCCTGGACACTAACAGCTTTTTTTTTCTTTCTTTCTTGCTATTTACTAGTTGCGTTGAGTTGAAGGGCAGGTTATTTGACTTTTGGCAATTCACTTGCTGGTTTGTAAGGGTAATGAAATGGAGGAACAGAGGTCTCTAGAGGTGGGTAATGAACAAAGGGAGTTGGAAGCTGAGGTGTTAATTGGCTATGAGGGAGTTAGGTGGGTACACTTGGTGATTCTATTGAGTGAGGTGAGGGAATTCGAGTCATGAGCCCTAAGACACAATGGCAAGAAGTTTACCTGAGTTCAATCTCCCTACAGATTGTTACAGACCCTGAGGTATAGATAAAGGACTAGAGGAATGGACACTTGAGTGACTTACCAAGCTCAGCCTCACCCCATTGGGTGACTATTTCAGGTTGACCATGCTTCTGAAACATTCTTTATTTTCATCAGAGACCTGATATTGTTTTAGTCATGCTTGAAATTTGCTTCACTTTACCTTACTGGTTTATGCAGAGTTTGATTTTCTTTTTTGAATCCTGGAATGATATTCCAATGAGATGTATACCAGCAAAAGCATTAGCAGAAATGGCTGGTTGTTACAGCCTTCCCTATTTGTGAGGCTAGCAAAGCCTCGGTGCCTATTTCTGTGACCCAACACAGGCAGGTTTGGGGATCATTTCTGCCTGGCTTCCCCTCTACAACCCAACTTCCCAGCCTGAGCACCGGTAGAGGAGGCAAGGTTGTCTTTTTCCAGGCGCTAGAATGTGATTGGCACCATCTTTCCTAAAGTCTTTACGTACAGTGACAGGCCAGAAGATGAAGGGCATGTATCTGCTGATGGCAAAGGTGTAGAGGAACATGAAGAAAGCAAAGATGGATATTTCCATAGTGAGGACCAGGATCATGATGGGGTTTGTGGCCACTTTTTCAAAGAAGTGTAGCCCAGCAATCAGGCAGCCCTAGGTGGAAAAATACATACACCTGAGCTGCTGCAAGGACTCTCCCCGACTTCTGAGGCCCTCTCCTCTACAGACACCCCTAGAATTTCAATCCAGCTTACCACACTCACGATCTTGACCACGGCGTGTCCCCCCAGCCAGAACTCTTTATTGGAGTCTTTGAATTCCCACTTGTAGCGTTTAAATCCCTTTCTTGTGCCCACCACATCCTTGGGCTGTACTTTGTGCTGGCCAGGCACTGCCATGGTAAGCAGTAGTTCTCAATTTCTCGGGGCTCAGACTTGCCTGCAGTCCTTGAACAGGCCCAGCTCAAGAGAGAGCCTGGTGTCTTCAGACCTGTTCAAGGGCGGCGCTCAACTGACCGCTGGGACTGCAGAATTCTAACGCTTATGGTTGGTCAGCGCGAGCACCTCATCTCATGGACCAGCAGGATTGCGTCGACCCTGGCAGAGGCCTGAAATTCCCACCCTCCATGCAGCAACTTGCGCTAAGCCCCACTGGTTCTAGTGAGGCCTTCCTTGAAAAGGAGTCCCAGTTGTGTGGCTATTGCTCCCTGAGGGCCTGGCCCTCCCGACCTCCTGGGGCAGCCTTGTGGAGGAGTGGGAGGGGTAACGCGACTTTTAGACAAGGCCACACGAGGAAGCAGAAGTGTTGCCGACTTAACAGCCCTGTCTTTATAGTCACACACGTGGGCTTGGGAGCTCATGATGGCCTGGAGGGAGTGATTATACTTGGAGTCTCTGCTAAACGCTGGGAAGGGCTGGGTGACTTCAGCATAGCTTCTGCCTCAGTGGGGCAGTGGAGGGCTTAGTTTACATTCCCAGGGCTTTTTTTGTCATGTTATTCCTCATGTTCTTGATGACCAATAACGCATCCATGAGACACAAGATTGCTGCTGAGAGGCACAGGACTTGTCAGACACAACAGGGGTGGGAAGTAACGGTCAGATTACTTTACAACTAGCACAGCGTCCATTTCTCATTCCTGTTCCTATCTGAGGAGGTCAAGAGCTGCAACAGTCCCTCCTGACTGCTGTAGGTCTGGTTTGTCTTTCCAAGAGAAAGGGAAACATTGGAGTTTGCTGCCCACAGTGGCCTGATCCTATGACTTGCTATTATAACAGTGGTTCCCAACTTGTGGGTTGTGACCCCTTGGACCTAATGATCCTTTCACAGGGGTCGCCTAAGACGAGTGGAAAACACAGATATTTACATTATGATTCCTAACAATAGCTAAATTACAGTTACAAGGTAGCATTGAAAATAATTTTATGGTTGGGTGTCACCACAACATGAGGAACTGTGTTAAAGAGTAGCAGCATTAAGTAGGTTGAAAGCCAGTGCATTAGATAATGACCTTTGCAGTTCTGAGTGGAGTGTCTGGCAGTTGATCCTGAGTGGTGAATGGTCTGGAGCTCTCTGAGGAGGGGACAGATTTGAGATTCAGAAAACGCATCTGCAGTTACTATGAGATGAAGGGAGAGTGAACCTGGATAAGGCAGGAAGACATGGAGGTGGGCTGATGCCAGTCCAGGCAAGAAGAAATGAAGGAGGGAGTGTGGGGGGACCATGGCAGTACAAAGCTCAGTTGATGAGTTGCCAGATTGGGACCAGGGATGGTAGCACCTGGTATTCCAGCCATGGATGTTTCTCTTTGTGGGCTACCTGATGACAGATTCTTAGGAGGCCTTGTTGCAGCCCCTGTGTGAGTTTCTCAGGGGTAAGGGCTCTGTTTCCAGTGCCCAACTCTAGCTTGGCACAATGCAGTGGCGTTAACAAATGTTCTCCAATTATGGATGAATTTAAAGAATTTAAATTCTTTTTAAAAGTTTCTTCAGGGACTGGAGAGATGGCTCAGGGATTAAGAGCATTGGCTGCTCTTCCAGAGGACCTGAGTTCAATTCCCAGCATCCACATGGTGGCTCACAACCATCTGTAATGAGATCTGGTGCCCTCTTCTGGTGTGCATGTATACATACAGACACAACACTGTATATATTATAAATAAACAAATCTTTAAAAAAAAGTTTCTATCTTCCATTCTCTTTTGTCTGTGTATGTGTGTGTGTGTGTCTGTGTGTCTAAGCCTGTACATGCTACAGCATGTGTTTGGAGGTTAGAGATAACAGGTAGGAGTCAGCTCTCTTTTTCCATTATGTGGATTCCAGCACTTCAACTGGGGTCATCATGCTTAACGGCAAGTACCACTGAGACATCACCCCTGTCCTAAACTGTTTTCTTTTCTTGGTTAATTTCTGTCCACATTATTGAACCAAGTTCAAGTTCCATTTCCTTACTCTTCCGATTCTTCAAACATTTGATTTGCTATTTCTTACATTCTTTCATTTGATATGGATTTAGGCTCAGTTTATCTAAGCTTTGTGACTCATGACAAAGTATTTAACCTCAGTCTAAGGACATACCCAGGTGTCTGTAAACCTGAATGTTTAAAGTTAAGTCAGGGACCAGGGAAGTGGTGCTGTTGGCATAGTGTTGGCCTGGCATGCACAAGGCCCTGGGTTTGATCCCCAGCACTGCATAAACCAAGCATGGTGGTGCATACCTATAATCCATCAGGGGAATAGGGTTTGTGTAGAAGCAGGATAATCAGATGTTCAAAGTTTATCCTCAACCACAGAGCAAGTTAGAGACTGGCCTGGATTGGAGACCTTATTTATAAAGGTCTAAGACTAAGGAAGTGCCTAGACTGTGCTGGGCACACACTAGGTACTTCACCATAGGCAGGATCCCTTCCTCCTTGGACAAGCAGAATTACCCAATTCTAAAAGCCCCCACTTTATATCTGTGTTTAATATAGTTCTCTAGCCAAGAAAAACCAAACTGATAGTGTGGTGGTTTGCATAAGAAGGGCCTCTGCAGGGTCATGTATTTGAATGTTTGGTTCCCAGTTGGTGAACTGTTTAAAAGGATTAGGAGGCATTTCCTTGTTTGAAGAGGTGTGTCATTATGGGTGGGCTTTGACATTTCAAGAGTCCAAGTCAGGCCAAATCTTATTCTTTTTTTTTTTTTTTTTTTTTTTTGGTTTTTCGAGACAGGGTTTCTCTGTGTAGCTTTGTGCTTTTCCTGGAACTTACTTGGTAGTTCAGGCTGGCCTCGAACTCACAGAGATCCGCCTTGCTCTGCCTCCTGAGTGCTGGGATTAAAGGCGTGCGCCACCACCGTCCAGCTCAAATATTATTCTTTACCTGCTGCCTGTGGATCAGATGTGAGCTCTCAGCTACTGCTCCAGCAGAATGCCTCTTTACCTATCGCCATGCTCCAAACCATGATAGTCATGAACTCATCCTCTGAAACTGTAAGCCAGACCCCAATCAAATGCTTTCTTTTATAAATTTCCTTGGTCATGGAGTCTCTTCACAGCAATAGAATGATAACCAAGATACCTATTCATAAGGATTTTTTTCTTTCAGTATTTTATATGTAGTGTATATGATTTGCAAAAGTTATTCTGTAGACTCAAAAACTTATTTGGAGAATATGTTTTGTGAGATTTAGGTTTTGGCAACTTGACATCATTTGAAGATGTCCCTACAAGAAAGTGAAGGGGGTCTGGAGAGATGGCTCAGTGGTTAAGAGCTCTTGCTGCCCTTGTAGAGGACCCAGGTTTGGTTCCCATGCCCCATGTGGAAACTCACAACTGTCTTTAACTCCAGTTCCAGCAGATCCAAAGTCCTCTCTTGATTTCCACTCTTACTTGCATGCATATATACATACCTGCATACAGGCACAACACACAGACACCCCCCCCCATCAAAAATTAATAAGTCTTTTCTGTTCTGTTAATGTCATTATGATGGCTTTCCTTTTCAGGGTACTCAAGAACAGTATGGGCAACTCTGTTGACCATCTCTCATTGCCTGTACTGCAGAAGCATCAGGCTGAGGATCAGGATGGGCGTTCCCAGGATCTAGGTCTTAATACCAGATGTTGTTCCAACCTTTACTGGGGAAGATGTGCTCACATGTCTATTCAGCCCAGGTAGGTCTCCAATGATAGATCAAAGCAATGAATGATTCAACTAAGTCTCACTTGGAGAACCAGTGAATTTACTATGTTTACTCACAGAATGATGGGTGAGGGGTTACAAACAGAAGCATTGATGACTCAAAAGGCACCGTATCCATGAGAACCCCAACACATCACAAATGATGCCTCATGGTGGCTGCCACCCTGGAGATGGGAGAGTCAACTACAGGCAGCCTGGCTACTTGGTGAGTCTCTCTGCAACTGTTTACTGCTTCTATAACTTTGGGGGAAGTCCTCGTGAATTTTGTTAAGTTTCAGCTTTCCCAGACTGTGGGATTTGTTTTCCACTTGAGTCTCATGGACATCTCTCCTCCACAAAGGAGGGAATGTTTGTCTGGAGGATATCCTGGCTAGTTTCTTCTAAGTTGCTTTTGGTAATGGTGTTGTATCATCCTGACTAAGACAGAGGAAATTTCTGTCTACAGATGTTGCCCTACCTGGCTGTCTCCACCATCCTGAAACTTGACCCAAGCTAACGTCATCTGAGAGGAAGGAACCTCAATTGAGAAAATGCCTCCAGAAGATCCAGCTGTAAGCAAGCAAACCTATAGTTAGTTAATTACAAGCAAGTCTGTAATTAATTAATTTCCCTAATGATTGTTGGAATAAGACCCAGCCTATTGTGGGCAGAGATACATCTGGGATGGTGGTCCTAGACTCTAGAAGAAAATAGGCTGAACAAGTCTTGAAGAGCATGCCAGTAAACAGCACTCTTCCATGGCCTCTGAATCACCTTCTGCCTCTAGGTTCCTATCCCACTTGAGTTCCTGCCCTGACTTCTTTGGTGATGAACAGTGTGATACAGGGTTGCAAGCAAAATAAACCCTTTTCTTCCTAAGTTGCTTTTGGTAATGGTGTTGTATCATCCTGACTAAGACAGAGGAAATTTCTGTCTACAGATGTTGCCCTACCTGCCTGTCTCCACCATCCTGAAACAGAATCGGCAGCCTATTTCTAGCTCAACCCCTGTGCCACAGCCTAGTATGCAGTATTCTCTCTTGAGACCCTGCCCCTTGGTCAGCTTCAAGAAATTCTCATGCCACCCAAGATGAAAGCTAAAGGCATCATGGCCCCCAAGGCCCAGCATGTTCCCCAGGTTTTCCTGACTGGGTTTGTTATGGTAAAACAAACAAACAAACAAACAAACAAACAAACAAACAAACCAGACATTAGAGCTGAAAGAAATGTTAGGGAGCCATCTAGATGGCTTATCAGCGAAGGTGCTTGCTCCAAAGCCTGAGGAGCTGAGTTTAATACCTGGAATCCCCATGGTAGAGGGAGAGAACCAACTCTCACAAGCTGTCTTCTGACATCCATAGACATGCTATGACACCACACACACACAAACACAATACATAAATGTCTTAAAACACAAAATAATGTTAAGAGTTAAAATAAAGAAGCCAGTAACACTAAGGATGAGAAATAAAAGGCTTTGCAGCTTTGTGTGAGATAGACAAGCTGACTCTGGGAGCAAAGTCAGTGTAGACAGGCCAGTTGATTCCTCCCCAAAT